CCCCTTTGCTGCTGCCAGGCCCGTTCCCTGGGCCCTGTACGGCCTCCATTGCTGCTGTCTCCATCGCCACACTCTGCCATGTGCCACTTTCAGGTCCCCTCACACTGCTGGTGTTTTCCATTTTGTCATAGGGTGCTGGCAGATTACGGGCCTCCCATTGCTGCTCCGGGGCCCGTAATCTGCCATGGGCCCCCGTACCGCCTCCTCATGCTGCTGCCAGGTCCATAGTCTCTCCTTGGGCCCCTGTCGGCCCTCCCATTGCTGCTGTTCCATCGCCACACTCTGCCATGTGCCACTTTCAGGTCTCTCACACTGCTGGTGTTTTCCATTTTGTCATAGGGTGCTGGCAGATTACGGGGCCTCCATTGCATCTGCCAGGCCCGTAATCTGCCATGGGCCCCTTGTTACCGCCTCCTCATGCTGTTTGCCAGGCCCGTATTTCATGGGTCCCCTGTACGGCCTCCCTTGCTGCTGTCTCCATCGCCACACTCTGCCATGTGCCACTTTCAGGTCTCCTCCACTGCTGGTGTGTTCCATTTTGTCATAGGGTGCTGGCAGATTACGGGCCTCCCATTGCTTGCCAGGCCCGTAATCTGCCATGGGCCCCTGTACCGCCTTCCTCATGCTGCTGCCAGGCCTAATCTTCATGGGGTTCCCTGTACGGCCTCCCATTGCTGCTGTCTCCATCGCCCACACTCTGCCATGTGCCACTTTCAGGTCTCCTCACACTGCTGGTGTGTTCCATTTTGTCATAGGGTGCTGGCAGATTACGGGCCTCCCATTGCTGCTGCCAGGCCCGTAATCTGCCATGGGCCCCCTGTACCGCCTCCTCATGCTGCTGCAGGCCGATCGTTCATTGGGTCCCGGTACGGCCTCCATTGCTGCTGTCTCCATCGCCACACTCTGCCCATGTGCCACTTTCAGTCTCCTCACACTGCTGGAGGGTTCCATTTTTGTCATAAGGGAGCTGGCAGATTACGGGCCTCTCCATTGCTGCTGCCGAGGGCCCGGTAATCTGCCATGGGCCCGCCGATTTACCGCCTCGCTCGGATGGGCGGGGGCTCGGGCCGGCGGAGGTCCATATGTGTCTCCATGGGTCCTGTCCGGCCTCACCATCGCTGCTGTTCCATCGCCACACTTGCCATGTGCCACTTTTCTGGTCTCATCGCTCACATTCGAGTGGGGGGTTCCAATTTTTGTCATTAGCGGTGCTGGCAGTCTCTCTCACACTGCTGTGGTGTGTTGGGTTCCATTTATAGTCATAAGGTGCTGGCAGATTAACGGGCCTCTCACCATTGCTGCTTGCCCAGCCCGTAATCTGCCAGGGCCCCGTACTGACTCCTCTGCTGCAGCCAGGCCCGAAATCTTCATAGGCCCCTGTAAACCGCCTCCTCACTCGCTGCTGCCAGGTCCAGAGTCCTCTCATGGGTCCCTGTACGGGCCTCCACATTTGCTCCTGTCTCCATCGCCACACTGTGCAATGTGCCCACTTTCAGGTCTCCTCACACTGCTCGTTGGGAGTTTGTCCATTTTTGTCATGAGGGCGTGCTGGACAGAACATGACGGCCTCCCTTTAAGCTGCTGCCAGGCCCCGTAATCTGCCATAGGCCCCTGTAATACGCCCAGCATCCTCATAGCTGCTGCCAGGCCCGTAATCTGTCATGGGTCCCTGTACGGCCTCCCATTGCTGCTGTCTCCATCGCCACACTCTGCCATGTGCCACTTTCAGGTCTCCTCACACTGCTGGTGTGTTCCATTTTTTCATAGGGTGCTGGGCAGATTACGGGCCTCCATTGCTGCTGCCAGGCCCGTAATCTGCCATGGGCCCCTGTACCGCCTCCTCATGCTGCTGCCAGGTCCAGGTTAATCTGGGTCCCATGGGTCCTGTACGGCCTCCCATTTGTGCTGCTGTCTCCATCGCCACAACTCTGCCTGTGCCACTTTCAGGTCTCCTCACACTGCTGGTGCTGTCCATTTTGTCATATGGGTGCTGGTCAGATTACGGGCCTCCCATTGCTGCTGCCAGGCCCGTAATCTGCCTGGGCCCCCGTACCGCCTCCTCATGCTGCTGCCAGCAGGTCCAGAGTCTCTCATGGGTCCCTGTACGGCCTCCCATTGTGCTGTCTCTATCGCCACACTCTGCCATGTGCCACTTTCAGGTCTCCTCACACTGCTGGTGTGCTGTCCATTTTGTCATAGGGTGCTGGCAGATTACGGGCCTCCCATTGCTGCTGCCAGGCCCGTAATCTGCCATGGGGCCCCCGTACCGCCTCCTCATGCTGCTGCCAGGTCCAGAGTCTCTCATGGGTTCCTGTACGGTCCTCCCATTGCTGCTGTCTCCATCGCCACACTCTGCCATGTGTGCCACTTTCAGGTCTCTCTCACACTGCTGGTGTGTTCCATTTTGTCATAGGGTGCTGGCAGATTACGGGCCTCCCATTGCTGCTGCCAGGCCCGTAATCTGCCATGGGCCCCTGTACCGCCTCCTCATGCTGCTGCCAGGGGGGGGGGGGGGGGGGGGGGGGGGGGGGGGAACCGTATCTGTCATAGGTCCCTGTACGGCCTCCCATTGCTGCTGCGTCCACTCCATCGCCACACTCTGCCAAGTGCCCACTTTCAGGTCTCCTCACACTGCTGGTGTGTTTCCATTTTGTCATAGGGATGCTGGCAGATTACGGGCCTCCGCTGTGATTGCTGCTGCCAGGCCTGTAATCTGCCCATGGGTCCCTGTACCACACCGCCTCCTCATGCTGCCATTTTGTCATGCCAGGGGCAGATTACACAGTGTCTTGTATGGGGTCCCTGTACGGCCTCCCATTGCTGCTGTCTCCATCGCCACACTCTGCCATGTGCCACTTTCCCTTTCAGGTCTCCTCACACTGCTGGTGCTGTCCATTTTTTTGTCATAGGGGTGCTGGCAGATTACGGGCCTCCCATTGCTGCTGCCAGGCCCGTAATCTGCCATGGGCCCCTGTACCGCCTCCTCATGCTGCTGCCAGGTCCAGAGTCTCTCATGGGTCCCTGTGTGGCCTCCCATTGCTGCTGTCTCCATTGCCACACTCTGCCATGTGCCACTTTCAGGTCTCCTCACACTGCTGGTGTGTTCCATTTTTTCATGGGTGCTGGCAGATTACGGGCCTCCCATTGCTGCTGCCAGGCCGTAATCTGCCATGGGCCCCCCGTACCGCCTCCTCATGCTGTGACGTTGCAACAAGGTGGAATTCAACCCTACATATGTTAGACCCGCCTTTATGAACAGCGAAAGGCCATCACCGATTTCCTGATGTTACAAGCGGATAAAGGTACTCCCCTGTGTAACTTAGATGTCAGCCATCGGCAGCTCATGCGTGACACCTGCCGCTTGCTCAGGCCCTTTGAGGAGGCCACGCTATTCGTGAGTCGGCAGGACTATGGGGATGAACGACGTCATTCCTCTGTTGCACGTCCTGGAACAAATGCTGTTAACAATGGCTGGTCAGGGGTGCGGTTAGACGTGGCGCACAGATCTCAACGCCACATGACCCCTGTGGAGGCAGGACAGGAAGAAGAGGAGGAGGTAGAGGAGGACATTGGTGCTCAGGAATTATTGAGTGAAATGGTGGTTTTTTTACACTCAGCGGACAGGAGTGGAGGAGCAGGAGCATCTGGTAGAGGAGGAGGAGGAGGAGACAGAGGACCCAGACGCACCGTGGCAGTATGCTGTGGAGATGGAGGCAGGGAGTCCCCTCGCATTCCTTGGCACAAATGGCCCATAGCATGCTCGGATGCTTGCGTAGCGACAGCCGAATAATATCCATCAGACAGAGGGATGACTTTTGGCTGTCCACCTTTGTTGGACCCTCGCTACCGTTCAAAAAATGGTGGCCTTTTTCACACCTGCTGAGAGGGAGGCCAAAATAACGTACTATAAAAACCACCTATGTAGTCAGTTGGTCTCTGCCTTTCTGCGCCAACGTCCATCCTCAGACACTGTGGGCCCTGTGCGCTCGCGTGCGTTCCGCTGCCATGTGGCAGCAGGGGAGGGGTGGTGTGGTAGGAGCAGTGGCAGCTCCACCAGCAGCGGCTGCCTCAGTCTGCAGTCCAGATGATGAGTAGCTTTCTTCACCAGCGCAGTGAGGAAACTACTAACCAGCCGCAGCAGTGCAGCAGCAGCATCAGGTAGACCTGGAGCAGGATCCTCAAACAACAGGCTTGGGCCTACTTGGACAGCACCCTGCCAACCGAGGTAGACAATCCCCTTGACTACTGGGCAACGAAACTTGACCTTTGGCCCCAACTAGCTGAATTTGCCCTTGAAAGGCTGTCAGTAGCGTGGCATCGGAGCGCGTGTGTTTAGTGCGGCAGGAGGTATTGTAACTCCGCGGAGGACACGACTGTCCACCCAAAGTGTGTGGAGACACTCACGTTTGTGAAAATGAATCAGGCGTGGATTAGTCTGGATTTCAAACCACCAGTTCCTGACACAACTGACTAAATCCGCCATGAATCATGCCCCAAACATGTGCCACTTTCAGGTCTCCTCACACTGCTGGTGGGTTCCATTTTGTCATAGGGTGCTGGCAGATTACGAGCCTCCCATTGCTGCTGCCAGGCCCGTAATCTACCATGGGCCCCCCGTACCGCCTCCTCATGCTGCTGCCAGGTCCAGAGTGTCTCATGGGTCCCTGTACGGGCCTCCCATTGCTGCTGTCTCCATCGCCACACTCTACCATGTGCCACTTTCAGGTCTCCTCACACTGCTGGTGGGTTCCATTTTGTCATAGGGTGCTGTATGGCCTCCCATTGCTGCTGCCTCCACCGCCACACTGTGGCTCCACACTCTGGTTTTGGCCCCGTGACTGCCCAAATGAGTGAAGTGTGCGGTGATTCTAAGATCGACGGCACTCATCTGCATGTCATACTGACTGACAGTATTATTTCTCTTCCCCAGCAGACTCCAAGGGCATTTAAATTAAAGGTACAGTGTTCTGCACTAATATAAAGGCTCTCTGAAGCCTAGAAACACCCTTTTATAAGTTAAATTCGCAGCGAATATATTCGCCTCGAATCGAATTTATTCCTCGAATTCGCCGAATCAGCCGAACCGAATTTTGAATACTTCGCTCATCTCTAGTCACATTCACTGCTTTATAAATATGCCCTGGGGTCATTCTTATAGCAATATTAAAGGTTCATTTTTTTTTTTTTTAAATAACAAACATGTCTATACTACTGCGTGTCATGGTTTTGCGCAGAGCAGCCTGGATCTTCCTCTTCTTGGGTCCCTCCCAGACTCTGCTGGCTCCTCCTTTCTGTCAGGTGCCCCCATAGTAAGTAGCTTGCTATGCGGGCACCTGCTACTCCGTGTGTCCATTCACACACTGAGTCAAAGCTTGGCCCTGCCTTCTCTCCTTATTGGCTGACTGGTTGTGATTGATAGCAGTGGGAGCCAATGTCTCCCGCTTGCTGTCTCAACCAATGCCAAGGCAGAGACCCAGGACAGCCAAGGCTGTCATGCACATCGCTGGAACTTTATGAGGCTCAGGTAATTATTGGGGGGCTGAGTAGTGATGCTGCAAACAGAAGGTTTTTTCCCTTCATGCATGGAATGTAAAAAATGTTGCTCTCTTACAACCACTTCAACAATACATTCAAATACACACATATAATATACTCTAATAGTGCAAGCGGCCTTCCAAATTTGAAGTGACTGAACAATATTTTGTGTGTAACATTGATGTTTGTCTCATCAAAATATTTGATTACGCTTCAATGGAGAGATCACCATTATGTCATAAAAGCCACTGATGGGGACACCAACTTTACTGCAGTTCCTGATGTAGCTTTGTTTTAAATCTTTTGTTTGGCATATTCATATCTGTGACTGCAATATCTCCATGGAAACTAGTTTCTTGAGAATAATTTAAGAACGTTAAGATATATGAAAGATTTATGGTTTCAGAAGTGAAATAACAGAAAATTACTTTAATAAGAATACTCTTTAATGGGAAAAATTGTTTTTGGGGTTTTTTTTTTTTTTTTTTTTATAGAAGAATTGTTTACCATAGAGTTTTAAGCTCTTCATCATCATGGAAATTGTTCTAGCAGTGTCATCGCTAATAGCCTAGTGCCGTAGACTGAATATTGGATGGATGGCATACCAAAACATCATTCATTTTTCTACATAGTTTTACTTTAAAATGATGAATATCGATAAATATAGATTTTGTAGGTAACTGATTATACCTCTGTCATCTTGGCACCACTGCAAGTAGTAACTCAAATAAGTTAAACTGACAGAATTTGACTATAAAAAAAAAACATATGCAGTACATACCATGTTTCCCCAAAAATACGACTGGGTCTTATATTATTTTTTGCTCAAAAAGATGCACTAGGGATTATTTTCAGGGGATGTCTTATATTCTTATTTCTTATTTATACTTCTATATGTACAATAATCTACATTTATTCAAATACAGTCATGCCATCTCTAGATTCAAACCCTGAATTCCAGCCTGAATTTCTCTCGACTCCAATTCCTGTAAAACAAATGGTCGGCAATCCATTCATATAGCTCAGGAAATAATGGTTGTCAACCTCATCCACACTTGCGGTTCTTAGCATTTCCCTCATCCACCTGTTGACTGAGGTTATTGTACTCTGCTCGCCATTTTCGGTCCATGCGGAGATGTAACTTCTTCTCTTTGCAGAAAGCCGTGAGATTCTTGCCCTGGGAGTCCTCCATGATCCCTTTCTTGTACTAGAAGGAATAGCTCTATTTTGCACTCATCTTGTCTACGGTTTGCAGCTTATGACATAAATGGTGACATATATATGATACAGTGCTCAGCATAAATGAGTACACCCCTTTTTAAAATTAAGATTTTAATCAATATCTCAATGAACACAAGAACAATTTCTACAATTTTAAAGAACATTAAAGATTACAAAATCTTCAGTTTTACTCAAATTAGCTGATGCAAAAATGAATACACTCCACAACAAAAACTACTACATTTAATATTTTGTATGACCTCCATGATTTGTAAGGACAGCACCAAGTCTTCTAGGTATGGAATGAATAAGTTGGTAACATATTGCAACATCTATCTTTTTCCATTCTTCAATAACAACCTCTTTTAGAGCCGGGATGCAAGATGGAGAGTGAAAGTTGTCTCTTCAAATTTCCTCATACGTAGGTGTTCAATTAGG